AAGGGTATGAGAGGGCACCTAGCAAGGAGATGAGGCTGAAAGCTAAACAGTGGCTCTCTTTCTAGGTGATGAAAATGTCCACAGTTGATGCACAATTCTACGAATATGCTGAAAGCTATTGAATCACATGCTATAAATGGGTAAAATGTGTGATATGCAAGTGTTATATCAATAAATCTGACTGAAAGTTATTTTTAGTTCCTTTAAATTTTTTTCTAGTTCTTCTTAAGGAAAGACTAGTAGTTCATTAAGAAATTTCCATATAATACAGACTATTGGCTGTTGATTCTCATTGCCACATGCAAATACATGTGCGCAGGAATGAAACCGGTGAAAAGCTTTTGTGTTCCAAGGAATTTAGTTTGATGTTGTGTATGTGTGCCAGAGAAAGACAGATACAGAGATAGAGAGAGACAGAGAGGAGAGACACAGAAAGAAAGAAAGGAGACACAGAGACAGAGACAGAGAGAGGCTGACTGTGAGGGTGTGCATGAATGAGGAAGTCGTAGTAATGACTCACCATGCGTCATCAGAAAGCAACAGTGCTCTCTGTCTTACTGCTTTGAGACAGAGTTTCTCACTGATCCTGTAGGTGGTTGTTTTCAGTTGAGCTGGTTGGCCATCAAGGTCTCAGAATTTGCCAGGCTTTGTTACCCAGTGCTTTAGTGACATGCACACATAGCTATGCCCTGCTTTAAACACACGTGCTGAGGCTCCTGACTCAGGGCCTTGTACTTGCACAATCCCGAGCACTAAACACTGAGTACCTCCACCTTCTCAGCATGCCCTGAAACAAAACATCCTTGCTTTAGGAAACTGTTTTGTTTTTGAGAAAGAGTCAAAAAAAAATCTCACTATTATCTCTGTCTGTCCTGGAGCTCACTGTGCAGAGTAGGGTGGCCTTGAACTCACAGAGACACTCCTGTCTCTACCTCCCAAGTGTTGGAATTAAAGGTATGTACCACTATGTCTGGTCAAATTATTTTCTTTCCATGAGTAATTGGCAAACATTTCTGCTCTATGGAAGTCACCACACAGTGAGAATAAAGGCCACAGAGGTCTGTTTTTCTTTCAGGTTTGTTACTATCAAATACAGGCTATATCATCAATAAAGAATTAATTCAGATATACAATCCGTCCAGGTCTGAAGTGAGGTAGCTTTTATCTCCTTATATCATGCTGGCAGGCAGGGCAGTGATACCAGGCAAGTTAGGCGGTACCTCCACAAGCAGCAGGGGGCTCTCTAACACCACACACCAGCCCAGGAGCAGGTGCCATGTGACTTAGATTTTTACCACTGAACTCAAATGTCATCCCATTGTTGATGTCAATGTGCTTGCTGAAGGATACTCTTAAGACCCACATTTACAGGCCAGATATGTTCCACCAATAGGAAGTTTCAGCAAAATTTTAAATGTTGAATCATTAGTACATGCTAATTAATTATGTTGCTTTAAGTCTTCTTTGAAGTCCACTGAAACTTGGATTTCTTATGTGCTTCATCCTTGGAAAACTAATATTCAAGCTATTACCATGTTCTGGATGAAATTAAAAAGAGGCTTCCATAGACGTTATGAACCTCTGCTTCTCACTTAGTAAATCAGCACAGGCCCGTACTTGATGTTTACCAGAGCATCAAGATGCCTGTGCAGTTCAAAGAGGAAGCTAAATCCCTAGCACTCATGGTATTCCACATCACCCTTGGTGGGGATAAACTGATTTACTCCAAGTCAAAGTATTGCTCTCAAGGCTGATTTTGTCAAGGTCTCCATAAAGCCTTTATATCTGGGCCTGCTATCGTGTGTCTCTCAGGAAGTATCTCTGTAGAGATCCATACCTACTTGATGCAGGGAAAGCAACACCAATAGCAGGTGAATCACTCAAAGAGCTGGGCTGTCAGCTGACCTGGGATCCGATAAAAACGAAACCACATTAGTCACCAAAGGTGAAAAATCTTACTTTCTTTTCAATCCTCAACGCAGTTCTTCGTCTTAATTACTCCTTTCATATCTCTTACTTCAGGGATCCTTACAGACAAGGAAGAACATGAAGTATGTTGTTTCATCATGATCTATAAGAATGCTGTAAATATTTTAGAGTCTTTAAACATAACTAGGGAAGAGGTTGCAGAGGATTGGAGTTCAGTTATCTGCTCCTAATCACGTGTAACTCCAGCCCCAGGGGATCTAATGCCTTTATTTTTTTTTTTTGACCTCCAAAGGTACATGCATACTTCTGTCCCACACAATTAAAATATAAATAAAAATCTTTAAAAAATAAAAATGTGAGACAATTTGATTTTTTTTAGGACTTAATGAGACTCTATTTTTAATTTAGGTCATGTGAAATGAACTGCAAGAAGTGAGAACTTTACAAAGGGACAGAAATTGAACAGTCAGTCTCTGCAAAGGTCTCACCAGAGCCCATGAATCTCTGAGTCAAGCCTGTGCTGGAAACTCCACAGAAAACAGAAGACTGGAAGGACCAAGGTGCTTTAAATCAGTCTCACTTCTTAACTTGGTGTGTGCTCTCATCCCAGCTACAAACCAGTAGTATCAAAATATCTTCTACGCCTTTGGAAGGTATGCAAAGGAAGGCTAAAAAGTCATCTATGAAAATTACAAGTTAGGCAGACATTACCATACATGTGTGCCCTCTAATAACGTCAGAGACGCAGATGAGGTTGAATAAAACACAGGGTGAAACATATCCCTCGAGGTGCATCTGTCATTACTCTAATCTTGCTGTGTATTACAGAATTTGCCGCACGGCATTGCAATTGCCTGGTGATGCTTCTGCGTCCTCACCAGTGTGGGAGAGCAGAACCTGTGACTTAATTACCTCCCTGGCAGGGCAGTAGTGTTTGATCAAGGAGAAAACATTAAACAATGTTGTAAGTTCTGTTTGAACAGGGAAAACCAAAAAGAATACCTCCCATAAGGCCATGATATTAAATATGCTATGTACCAATGTTAGGCAGCATAGTGTTAGATTACTACATGAACCAGCTGTCAATAGAGTTCTACAAGCTATAATCATTAACTAGAATTCATACCAGTATTTTCAATGCAGTCTTCAGCATGAATTGCTTTACTTGTTGTTTAAAGCTAATAGTTTACCTATTTATTCCAATTCAGTTTCAAGCTCTCTGGTACTCTGAAATTCTGCACAAGTCTCTCACCTTTGGATAAACTGAGGATGGGATCCTCAGAGATGGATATCACTTCTGTAATAAAGGTAGAGAACAACAGCCAAAGACATTGGCCTAAGAGTTGAAGAGACACTCTGCAGGAGCAGGAGCAAGTCAGCACAAACACTTAGGCTCACAAGGGACCTCTGTGTAGATAACCTCATCATACACCTGCCACTGTCTTCGAGAAGTTTATAACCCAAAGCAGAAATAAACTGCAAGTGAAGATTGCCAGGGAATCAATCCCCGCTTCCCCTGAGCTCGGAAGTAGGGGACATTGAATGCACAGTGAGGTGGTGATGAGTGACCAGAGACAAAAGTCATGACTCAGCATTCTCAAATGCACACTGAGATTTTCCTAGGTTCTTTATAGTGACCAACAATATAAAATAATTTTCAGGAAATCACATGGTCATTTTTGCTCTGCATAGCAAGCATTCTATAATCATGCAGCTATAACAGGGCTTAGGAATGGCCGATACTTTTTATCTCAAACATAACCTGCTTAGAGCTCTTCAGGAGTGACATCGTTGTAAGGACAAAAGTTCCCAACCTTAAGATTAGATAATAAAACTGCAAAAAGTATACATTAGTTTTGCTTTCTTAGAAATTTCAAGCATGGAAACTTTTTCACAAAATCAATATAGAATGATAGATTCCTCTACACAGCACTTCCTTCTGCATTAAGTATCAATTCTCTGATAAAGTACTCTGAATACCACATCAAGTTCCCATTACAGTGGACATGTCAGGACAGCAAAAGAAAAATGACCACACTGGCTCTCACCATAGGCAGTCTGCAGGAATCCTTTTACCATAAATGATACATTTTTCATCATATTTCTGTTGTTAAACCACAAACAAAATATCCATGGGATTGGTTTTTTAAAACTAATTTTATCTAAGTTTTTTCAATAAATTGCCATTATTGTCTGATTTTTGAAAATACCATTTTACATAGAAAACTGTAAATGAAACATATATATGAAGTCAGATGTCACTGTCCCTAAGTAATTGCAATTCAAAGGTGACTATATGATTAGCAAAAGTAAGTTTTTAAACTATGAACTGTGACCTTGGACGGTTCAGACTTTCTGTGGGGCAGGACTCAGTCATTTCTGTGGTGGCACACCTGGTGTGGTAACACACCAGGACACAGCAATCCTGTCTACTTCATCAACAGTGTGCTTCTTAACACCCAGGGCTATTTACAGTTACCTTTCTTTATTGCTATAGGACTCAGAGAGACCCCCTCATCACAGTACCCAGCAGCAAAGCCAGAACTCTGTGCTCAATCACTCTTACACTGCATTTTTTTTTTTTTTTGGTCTTTGCTTTTGTTGTTTTGTTTTTGTTATTTTTTTCAAGCATCATTTGGGTAACGAATCTACCTAGAAATATTCAAGGAAAAGCATTGTCCTCAACCTTTATTCCGACGACTCCATTATACTTGAGAGGAAAGTCCTTGCCTAGAGAGCAGATCATCAGATCCATCTACTGAGCTCACTGAAGTGCTTTAACAGCCTGGAGACTCGGGAAGCCCATTCAGTTTGCTTTGCTTCAGGTTGTAGAGGTATTGTTGTAAATGCACTTCCATTAAAAGAAGATATAACTGAACGCGATAATCAGGAGCAACTGCACAAAAGTGTCAGTGAAAGAGAAGTGCGCTATTTAAATGTTTCTATCTGGTCTGAGGAAAGAGCACAGTGAAGAACAGACTGCAAGATTTGCAGCCTGTTATTAATGATGCCGAGCATTGGCCAAGTACGCTGCCCAGAAAATACCAAACAGCATAAGCGGAGAACACTACCTTCGCAGCGGCATGATTTCACAAGCCATCCTCGTGTGCGAATCTGCACGGGATCCCCGAGTGTCTTCCAGTCAAGCCCTGTGTGCAGGACCCGCGGAACACACAACCTGCTGCAGCTGACACTGTCTCTCCACCTCCAGCTGTAGGCAAGGATATTTATCGGCTGCCTCCACATTTACACTGCAGTCCACTTTGACCTTTTGTTCCAGCGAAGCAGCTGAAACCCATAGCCAATCAGAGGAGGAGCAGTGGAGTGTGAAAGGCTGCTCCTCCTCGTGATCCTCCTCCAGCTTCTCCAGCTCCTCCTTCTGTCCCCACCCCACTTTGCTCTGCCCGCTGCTTAAGTGGGCTTGGCAAGCTCCAGCAACCTGAAACTTTCCTCTGAGAGGTTCCAGACAAGTCTGTCAGTCAGTGAAGAGCAACCAATAACTGCAGGGGAGCTCAGTTCAGCACGGCTCAAAGTGCATGAAAGCCAGCAAGGAAATGCATTGTCAAGGACAGACAGCGTCCCTTAAGATCCCATTTTTTTTTTTTTGAGGCCCAGGGGAAGAGTTGGACTGCGCCTTGCTTTCCTAAAATAAATAAACAAATAAAAATTACCCAAACAGTAGCCAGAAAAGGCTTTTCCAGATTGTTCCAGGCTTTTCCAGACGAAAGACTACCCAGACCCTTGCCCTACCCACATTTTCTTCCCCAGATACTTATTTACACTCGGTTGTGAGCAGTTCCTGGTGACATCACTCAAGGGGAGGAGGACAAGGTGCCCCAACAGGGCTCAGGTTTTCAGGATATCAAAACGTCTACTAGCATGGTCCTTCTGTTTGTTGTTTTTACATTTCATTCACATAAAGTGAATGTAGCTATTTCAATATTATTTTTTCTTCCGAAAATGTCAACGACACTTGGAAAAGACTTGTTTCTTATTATATATTCTTCTATTTTACAAAACGAATTTTCCAATAAGGTTCTTCTAAGTGCTTGTCAATTATCTTTTATAATTTTGTGTTTCACATGTATGTATGTATGTATGTGTATGTAATGTATGCGTGTATGTATGTATGTATGCCTGCATATGCACATGTGTACCACATGCGTGACTATTACCAGAGTGGGCCAGAGGGGAACACAGGGATCCTCTGGAACTAGAATTACAAATGGCTAAGTGGCCATGCTGGGAACCAAACCTGGGTCCTCCTGAAGAGCAGCCAGTGCTCCATCCCCTATTATTTCTTCAGGAGCACTATTTTTAGGAAAGTAATCACAAATCATAGGTTTCATAGAATGCCAGAAACACATCGTGGACCATTTATTTCACATTATGCAAGTTTAACGAGTCCTAACACAGCCACGATCATTACTTTTAGCAGCAGAGAGAACAGAGACCCAGTCAACTACATTCAAAAAGTGTACCAGCTTAAAGGCTTTCCTGTAGTTTTCTCAGCTTGCTTTTTAAAAACAAACAAACAAACAAACAAACAAAAATAGACTACTCAGGAAGTTGGAATTGTCTCTATATTCTCTTTTGATACTATATTTGCACCTTTTTTGCTTTTAAATTATTACTTCTATTCCTAAAACTAACCTCATTATCATCATCATATTTTTGAACAGTCTTGATGTCTTAGCTATTTTTTCCTTTGCTGTGAAGAGACATTATGACCAAGGCAATTTTAAAAATTAACCATTTTCTTTAATTGGGAGCTTGCTTTCAGTTTCAGAATTTAGTTCATGATCATCACAGTAGGTAGCATGATATAGTAGCTCAGAGACTACATCTTATCTGAAAGTTGGGGGGGGGGGGAGAGAGAGAGATTGAGAGAGAGAACCCACTCCCAGTGACACAACTTCTCCAACAAGGTGACATCTTCTAATCCTTTACAAACAATTCCACCATCAGGGAACCAAGCATTCAGATATATAACCTACAGTAGTCATTCTCATTCAAACCACATCTTTTTAAATGGTGGAGCATGCGTGGTTAAGGTGCAGAAGGGCACATCACAGTTGTTAGAGGCATTCTTCTGGAAAGAAAGTGTTTACAGTTGGGGAAAACATAAGTTTTATATTTGGCCTTGGCATTTAAGAAGATAGCCTCATTTTTTCCTCAGCTTCAGGTAGGCACTGTAATGTTGAACTGAGCCAAGGTCATATCTATATCTTGGCAGCCTTTTCTTTTTTCTTTTTTCTTTTTTTTTTTTTTTACTAAGAATACTCATTAATGAGAAACAGTTTTCCAAATAACATCTCTTATGGTTAAAGTATAATGTCTAAAGATTGCTAAAGAAACATACTCATCATTTTTATCCTGGTTATACTTTCCTGCTTGGTGTTGAAGACCAGGTAGGAGGCTCATTTTCTTTTTAATGTCAAGGTCAGTTATAACATCTGGTCCTTATGTGTTTCTTGGGCTTGTGAGGAAACTCTGGTTCCTCTTGTCTTTCTTTTGCCAGCTAGTCCACCTATGAGATGATAAGTCAAAGACCTCGTTTTTATTGTTTTATTTGGAAATGTGGAGGAAATATTTTGTCTTTGCTGACTCTCCTCTTTGTAGATATTGGAGGAGTCCACATAGTGGTGTTTCCATAGCCTCCCTGAACAAAAGAACAGGTAACTCACCACAGTCTTTTGAGAGGTGCTGTGCAGCCCACTGGAACTAAGGTGACCTTAAAAGGTAAGGGGGAAAATATTCACTCTTTAATCACTTTGACTACATCAGTATAAGACACCAAGTATGGATGTTGAACATTAGTTACACTGGTCTCTTATTTTTATTACTGTGCAATATTTAGATAAAGCTTGAACTGAAATCAAGCACTTTAAATAATCCGTGATTAGACATACATTAAGTCAGTACCCTATCTTGCTCATCTTTTACATATCCTAAATAACTTATTCAGACACACATAATTTAAATAAACTTTAGCTTTTTTCCATTTTGAAAAATAATCTGTCCATTTTGATTTTTAGATACAAGTTTCTTTTACTAATAATATTTTATTTTTATATTCAATATCTTACTATTTTTTAATACTATGAGACATAGTAACATCAACAAATAAATTAACTATGTGTTGGGAGAATTTGGGGGGTGGATTAATCAGTATAGATCCCTTCTTCAAAAGACTCCAATGACAAACCAAAGTTCTGCTTTTACCAAAGCTCATCCTGGGGGACCAGTGAATGTGTAAGGTTTATTTACAGAGCACATGTGTGGTTATTCACAAGAGGATCCTGAGATCAACCACACTGGAAAGTCTGTACCTAGTGCTGATGATGGTTTTCCCACAGCTGCACAGGTGGAGCCTCCTTTCCCTAGCCTCAAGACCACCAAGCCATGTGCAATGAAGGCATAATTGCATGCTAGCTGGGATGAGTGGGATGAGTGGGTTGAGTACTCAGGTAGGGGTACAATGACCCTATACTTTTATAAAGGAACACTTAACAATCAGCAAGTTCTGATGTGTTGGATTTTTGCAAGCAGGTGCCGATGAACTCATAAAGATGGTGGTTGCTCAGCTTGGAAGATAAACACTATGTAAAATCTCTTTAATAAAGCAAAGTTGAATCCAAAGTACGTATAAAAAATAGTACAATGTTCTGCCTAGTTTTGTGTTAACCTGAACAAGCTAGAGTTACATGGAAGGAAGAAATCTTAATTGAGAATAGCCTCCTAAGATTTGGCTTTAAGACATTTTCTTAATTAGTAATTGGATGGGAAGGGCCATTGTGGATGGTGCCACCCTGCGCTGATGGTCCTGGCTTCTATAACAAATCAGGGTAAGCAAGTCACAATGGGCAAGTCAGTAAGCAGCATTGTTCCATGGATTCTGCATCAGCTTCTGCTTCTAGGTTTCTGTCCTCCTGGAGTTCTTGTCCTGTTTCTTTCAATAATGGATTCAATGTACAAGTGTGAGCCAAAATACCCACCCCTCCAACACACACACACACACACACACACACACACACACACAAACACACACTTGCTTTTTGGTCATGATGTTTCATTGCAGTAATAGAAACCCTAAATAAGACATTTCAAATTAGGATTAGCTGTGCTTAAAGAAAACATTTACATTTTAGCAAGAGTTTCTACAGTTTATTAAAATAACCTTGACATGAAAAAATAGTCTTTGCAAATAACAAAATGCAGAAACACACACACACACACACACACACAGAGCCAGAAATCTTTACATATTTATGTTGTAACTATAGTTTGAGGTTAGAGAGGACATACATTTTCCCCATTTTAACTAGGATAGATTAATGTAAATCCTATGGCTAAAAAAGCCATTTTCTTTTCCTACCTTGAAATCTATTAAGGGTTTCTGGTGGAATGCAATAAAAAGTATTTCTGATTCCCTTAATTCTCAAAGGCTTAGGGGGTTAACCTTTTCCTTGTTGTTATTGTTATTATATAGTTTCATAGTCAAGAAAAATGACCAACCCTAGCTGTGTTTTGGTTTTGAATGCATATAAGTAGATAAACAGAAGCACCAGATGCCTAGCAAACCTTTGTCAAACTAGTACCTACAGCCTCCCTTAGACATCAGCTAAGGAACCCCAGCCAGAATTATAATACTGGAGTCACTGGTTGAAGACTTCTAGGCAGAACCTCCTCTCTGGTCTCTTCATAGACAAGCATCTAGTTAGCTGTCCTTACCATTCACATTTGTGTCATGAGATAAGTAATAGTAACTCATGTTGGAAATAATTTACCCCTTAGCTGTCCTAAAGGACACAATGACATGACTCTCGAGCTGTGTTGTTTTTCCCCTTTTCCTTGTCACAGAGTCAGGGGCAAGTGTGACCCAGGCAGGAGTTTGGGAGGACATTGAGACAAACATGCTTGAATCTGAAATGGAAGTTCCAAGCCCTTTCTCCTAGGCTAGCTTCTCAGTGAGCTTAACCAGCACAGCGTAGTGTACTGATATGGCATGCATATAAAAGGTATTTTCTGATCTGGTGAAACTGAACTTATAAGCTTATATTGGGCAGAAAACTTGCTGTTGGGCCTTACCACAATGTGGCTGGACCAAATGTACCTGTACTCCTCATCAACCTGCATAGAGTTATCCAAATGAATCATATCTGCTGGGTCACTCTTTGCAAACAGGAATGGACAAGCCTCAGAAGGTGATGACTTGAGCTGTTCTTTTCTTCTTAACTCATCTCTCCTACTGTAACTGAG